CTCCCCCCATCACTGAGCATCTTCAGTTCCTAATCAGCCACTTAACTGATCCAGGGAGGCCTACTCAACCACCATGTACATCCAAGACAAGTGAGAAAATGCTGGCTTTAAAAAGTTCACCAAGCTCGTCCTCTTTCTCCTTCTGCTTCTGTCTGCCTTTCTGGCACTGTCTCTGTCTCTTTCTTTCTCTCTGTCTCTCTCTCTCTTTCCAAGCTGTACTGAAGGGCTGGGTTTGCTGCCACCTTAAGGCCAGGCTGTGAGCTACAATTGAGCCTAGAGCCTCTTGAGTGGAACAAGCTCAGCTCTTGTCCCAAGAAGGTAAGATACAGGGCGAAACTACCTTAAACAAACATTTTGAGCTTGGTTAGAAACGACTAAGACAAGAGCAGTCAGCCTTACACAGAAGGCCTCAGATTTGGTATCAAGAGCTTTGGCAGTCGGTTTGTGAACACTTGCTTCCCACAAATGCCCGAATGGTTTCCTATGGGTCCCGGAGTCCCACAGCCCCTTCTCCAAGCCTTCACTTGCTTGTGACAATTTTCTGTTTTGTTCTGTGCTCTCCTTTCCCGTCCTCTGCTCTGTGTGATGTCTTCAGGGTTGTGAAGAGGGAGGGGGCAGATCTTTGCCTTGTGCTTCCTCTCAGAGCTGCCTGTAAATGAGCCAGGCACAGGGAAGCTCTCGGGAAGATGCTGGTTGGTGGTGAGGAGTGTGACCTGCAGGCAGAGCTGCTGGCAGGGCCTTTCTTTTCTTTTTAACTCTGTGGTATTTCATTTTCTTTCCTGTGGTGCGTGTGTTCCAGGCTGCAGCACGCTGGCTGTGAATTCAGAAATCGCATTCTTTTGACTGTGACTTGGCAAAGGCTGAAGGCAAATCATGCACCTGCCTGGCCTTCCCTCGTGACACGGAAGCCCCTCCCCCTTCCACGGGCAGGGCTCCCAGCCCATGCACACGAACAAGCCCTGATGACGTCTTCTCCTGGACCCTTCTTGGGCGTAGACGTGTCATTAAGAGGGATACCAGGAGCCAAAATGTAAGACACACAGCAAGGGCGGGGCGTCGCTCACTGGGGCGAGCCCACCTCGAGTGCACAGCGTCCCTGAGTTTGATCCTCAGATTGGACAAAAGGGAAAACAAACAAGCAAGCAAACAAGCACAAATAAGAAAATCTGGTGTAGGCCTCCTCTGAGGGCCCGAGAGGCGGCCCTGGGTGGACACACGCACAGGAGCGGAAAAGCGACGTGAGCGGAAAAGCGCGCTTTTGATGAACGCAAAGTTGGTGGCGATCATGGGACATCTTCCCAGACGTTTTGTTTCTTGCTTTTGACATTTTGCTTCTTAATAAAAGAATGCTAATGTCTTCCAGACAATATACTCACGCACACAAATACATACACTTTCACACACTCACCCGTGCGTGCACAGGCATTTACACTCAGCCTCTCACGCACACATGCACAGCCCCACACTCACACTGGTACATGAAGACTTGCTGGTTGAGGATAGAACACATGAACAACGGTGGTCCTTTTGAACGCAGGGTGACGTAGCCATCTGTGTAAGCGGGCTCCATTTGTGTGGTGTACCCGGCGTGCTTGCACAGCGACGGGCGTGCCTCTCAGTGCGTGAGCACCTGCAGCTCTGTCTGTTTACACTGTGCAGATTCCTGCACCCTGTTTGTGTGCCTGGAGAGTTAAAAGATCATCACGGGTGCAGGAGTTTTAAGATCCACACCTCTCTCCTGAAGAGCGAGAAACACCAACAAAGACAGGAAGAACGACACAGGGGTGGGGCACGCTGTGTGTGTGTGTGTGGGGGGCGTGCAGGCACATGGCCTCTCGGGTCACTCCCCAGCATCTCCATCCATACACTTGTGGTCTGGCAGGGTGACCTGAGTGGCTGACACGTCTACACTTCGACTTTTCATCTGTGAAACCGTGACAGGACCCAGTCACAGAGTGTGGCAGGGCTCCGGTGAGGCCCTCTGCGCCACCCTGCTTCTGCCTCTGCATGTGCTTCTGAGTCCACTCTGTTCCCCTCCCAGGCCAAGGGAAAGCAGTAGGAAGAGCAGGAGGTCCTTGTCTCACAAGAGCCTGGGCAGGCTCCCCAGGACCGGGGGCTTTTGTCGCTTCTCCAGGACCCTGTGCTGGCCGGGCTCAGCCACTCGTTTGCACTTTGTACAGCAGAATAGGGAGCAGGTGAGCTGAAAGCCACGCAAGCCAGCCTGGCTTGAGAAGGAAAGTCCAAAGGAGCCCCGGGAGGGGAGGCTGAGCCCCAGGGGGGGAGGCTGAGCCCCAGGAGGGGAGGCTGAGCCCCAGGAGGGGAGGGGAGTCCCAGGAGGGGAGCCCAAGCCCCAGGAGGGGAGACTGAGCCCCAGGGGGGGAGGCTGAGCCCCAGGAGGAGAGGCTGAGCCCCAGGAGGGGAGGGGAGTCCCAGGAGGGGAGCCCGAGCCCCAGGAGGGGAGACTGAGCCCCAGGAGGGGAGGCCGAGCCCCAGGAGGGGAGGCTGAGCCCCAGGAGGGGAGCCTAGAGCCTGGGCTCTGCTCTGTTTCTTTCGTAATTCTCACAACCGGCCAGGAGATGGGGCTCTCAACCCTGAAGTCAAGGCCCAGAGGCTGAGCCTCACCTGAAGGGAAACCAGAGCCACCAGGCCGGCTGGAAGCCGCTTGCCACACCCTCTCTAGCCCAGGCTGAGACCATCTTCTGGGGCTTTCAGGCACACTGTCCTTTGGGCCACCGGCTGTGGCTTCTCTTGGATTAAGGCACCGCCAGGGCCAGTCTGGCCAGTCAACGACCGTGGTGGCTCACTTGATTCCTGTTCTCATTGCTGCTTCCCCAGCACCCGGCACACACGTGTGCACACAGAGGCCTCGGTAAAGACATTTTGATTATCGAATGATTGAGTCCCCACTTAGCGACTGCCTGACATTGCTGAGTTTCTCTGTGACTCAGTGTTCTCATTAGCGAAACAGAAATAACAGCCATGCCATGGCCACTGCCATTGACGACACATTTGGACCACTAGGTCCTGGCGCCTGGAGGGACCCGTAGAACCCGTAAGAGCCTCATTCTATTACACAGGGAAGTCTGAGCTCACCAGCCGGCTCTCCACAGTTTGACAAGAGCTTTTTATAACTGCAGCGTTTACTTCCACAGCTCCTTTCAGTACTATTTTCATGTTGGCCCGGTTGTGGCAGCTCCGTGTGCAATGCCACCCGTTAAGTCTCTGCCCCAGGCTGGAGGTGCTGGCCGTCTTCACCTCGGCTCAGTGACAAGCGTGCATGCACACACATGCCATGCTCTGCACCTGGCAGCCTGAGGTCACCTCGAAAGTGCTGGCTTTCTTTTTCTCTCACGCAGGTCCTAGGGATCAAACTCAGACAATAAGGCTTGATGACAGACACCCCCACCTGCTGAGCCACTGTGCAGCCCTCGATATGTTTATGTGGAGATTGAGATGCCCAGCATCCCATGAGGATGTAAGGAGAAAACAAAACAGAACCACTGCTTGTGAGAGGAGAAACGCAGGGGTCTTTTTACAGAGGATCACAAATAAAGGTGTGTGTGTGTGTGTGTGTGTGTGTGACACATTCCTGTCATACATGACTGCACAGTGGAGGCCAGAGGTTGGCTGTGGCGTCTTCCTCGATAGCTCTTCACGTGTTTCCTAATGTGCATTAATCACCCTCTCGCCTGCGTGTAGGCCTGGGTAGCACATTCTTTCTTGCGCCGGAGGAGGCCAGAAGAGACGGACGGATCCGCTGGGACCGGCAATCTGGATGGATGTGAGCCTCCACGTAGGCCCTGGGAACCCAGCCAGGCCCTCTGGAGAGCAGGGACTTCTCTTACCTGCACAGCCTTGTCTCCAGCGTCAGCCTCTCTCAGAGGCCGGCTGGCTGGCAAGCGCCTGTCCCTCCTGTCCCTGCGCCCCCAGCACTGGGAGCCCCAGCTGGTCCTCGGTGCTGGGAGCTGAACGCAGACTCACACAGTGAGAGCTCTCTCCAGCCCCAGGAATCTCGCCCGCTCCTCTCCAGGAAGGCCGAGGCCCAGTCTGGCTGCCGGTTCTGGTGACAGGTGCAAAGGACGATGTGCAGAGATTGATTTTTATTTTTCTTTGAGACTGGGTCTCAGCATGAAACCCAAGCAGGCCTTGACCTTGAGCTCGCGGCCATCCTGCTTCAGCCTCCGGAGCGCTAAGGACTAGTCCGCACTACCGCAAGGGTTGAACTCTGACTCGCACCGGGTGGCGGTCGGTTCTGCAGTTTTGGCCGAGCCTGGGAATGGTTGCAATGACACCCGCGCCCCACCCCAAGTGTGGGCTCACCTCCCCTCTCTGGCGGTGTGAGACAAAAGGCCCCTTCCTCCCCTTCCGCTTCGGGGGACTGGCTCCTGCGCTTCCTTCTAACGCAGATCAAATCCAAAGCATTACTCGCCACTCTCCAGCCTCGGCGGCTGCTCCGCGGCAGCCTGCCTCACGGCACTCTTTCGGACAAGCTGAAGTCGCCCTCGGCTCCAAGCCCACCGTCCGCCGTCGGCCTTGGCCGCGGGGAGACCGAAGCCCGCGAGGGGCTGCGCCGGCCACCGGGGCTAAAAGGGGACTCCGGGAGGCCCTCCCTCCTCCCCGCTGCGTCCTCCAGCCATCTTTGTTTCTGAGGGAGATTTTCCTCCTGTCTAACCCCGATCCGAGGACCAGAGGCAGAGGCGGCCGAGCCGACGCCCCGCCAGCGGCCAGGTGCTGCCGAAGGGGCAGGATGCGCGCTCCCCACCGAGCCCGGGAAGGACCGGGAGCCGGAGGCCCCCCGAGGGGAGGGAGGCGGTTTCCAAGGCGACCGGCCGGGAGGGGCCGGCTCGCGGGCGCCCCCTCCCGCCCTCCCGGTAGGCCGGGGTACCGCCGGCCGGCGTCCTCCCGTGCTCCGCGCGCCGATTGGCTGCTCGCGCGGCGCGCCGATTGGCTGGTGCGGGCGCCTCGCGGGCCGATGGCCACGGAGGTGGCGCCGGTTGAGGGTTGACCGGTCGCTGGTCCGGGGCAGGGGTCGTCGCGCGTGCGGTCGGCTCCCACAGGCCCCGAGAGCGCGGACGGCTGCAGCTCACCCTGGAACCCCCCGGCGAGCCCCGGCTCCGCCCGGCCATGCCCGCCGGGAACAACGAGCCGGACGGCGTCCTCAGCTACCAGGTGGGCCCCGCCTCCCGCGCCCTGCCCGGCTCGGCCGCGGTCCTCTGCCCACCGCCCGGCGCCGGCTCGAGCCGGGCTCCAGGCGCGTCCCCGAGGGCAGGGGAGGCCCGCGTGGGGCGGCGGGGGCCGCTCCCGGCGGCCCAGGAGGGTGACCTTGGGCCGAGCCCGGCGCCGCGGGCGCTGCAGCATCCCTGGCGTCGCCTGCTGCCCGGGTGCCCCGGAGCAGTGACCTCTGTCCGCGGGGCCCCGTCGGCGGGCGTCTGGCCTCGCCTGGTTCCGCCGTGGGTGGGCGAGGAGGTACCGCGGACCTCGCGCGGGGTCTTTGTGGTTTTTCATTCCGGTCCCTTAGAGGCTCGGAGGGAACCTTGCAAAGACCGGAGGCTGGGGACAGCCCGGCTTTGTGCATCCCGCCCTGCTGCCCGGCGGCTGAGGGTCCTGGGTGGGGAGGCGCATGGGTGGACCCGCCAGGCGCCGAGGGGTCAAGAGCGACGCCGCCAGCCCGCAGTAGCTGATGCCAGAAACGCAGGAGCGGCTGATGTCGGGAAGCACAGCACGAGTTGTAGGTTCAAGCCTCAGTCCGCTTCTCCCAGGCTGCGTGGCCTTAGGCAAGCCACTCGCCCCTTCGAACCTCGGCTTCCCCTCTACTGAGATGGAAACAGTGACATTTGTACGGTTCACGCCGCAAGGCTGTTGTAAGGACTCTGAACAGTTGAGTGTGCAGTAGCCTTTTGAATTCTCGCTCCCGCTTTCCTGTGAAACCCGATCAGGTGTGGTTACTGCCCTGGAAGGAGGGGTTGAAGGAGGGAAGGGAAGCGAGACAGACAAGTACTGTTGCGGGGGGGGGGGGGGGGGGGGGGGGGGGGGGGGGGCGGAGGTCTCGGAAGCAAAGCCGAGTTGACATCAGGAGTGGGTGGGTCCGGGAGGAGGGATGGAGAACTTCCTGCGTGCTGTGAGGGGCCGCGGCACTCCCCGCCCTCTCCCTGGCAATAGCCTTTGCCTGGCAGTCACAAAAATAGATCTAAGAGTTGGAAAAACCTTTCCGCATCTGATCTCCTGACAGGCTATGCTCTGTAGTCAACTTCTCTTTGGGAGAGAGTGAGCAAAAATAGGCCGTGACCACTGCCCCTCCCGGCTGGCGGGAAAGGGGGAAGGTTGGCTTTGCTTGTTTGCTTGTTTGCTTGTTTGTTTGTTTGTTTTGCCTTTGGTGGTTCTGGACATGGATTGCCTCCTACTTGCTAGGCAAACACTCTGCCACTGAGCCATACCCCAGCCTAAAGTAAGAATTGTGTGTGTGTGTGTGCTCGTGTGCATGTGTGTGCATCTGTGTGTGTGTGTGTGTGTGTGTGTGTGTGCGCGCGTGCTCATGTGGTGGCCAGAGTTTGATCTCTTGTTTGATACCTTACTTACTGAAACACATTCTCACACTGAACCTGGCACTTGCCATTTCAGCCAGCTGGTGAGCCCTGGGGCTCAGCCTGTCTCTCCTCGCCCCTCCCACCCCACCCCCCGCCCCCACTGCTGAGGTTACACACAAGCACAGCCATGTTGTGGGTGCTGGGAGTCTGGGTCTTCATGCTGAGTGACAAGCCTTCCTGGCTTCCCAACTTGAGCACACAGAGTGCTGGAGCCCGAGTCCTAGCAGCCCGAGGCAGGGGGATTGTTGTTTGAGATCAGCACAGACTACACAATGAGACCCTGTCTCAAAAATCTGCACCAAGGGAATGCGTTATTACAAACTCGGGCGTTTGGTGTGTCTCGGTCCCGTGAGAGCATACATGACTCAGACCGTGGGAGAGTTTTCTAAGGGAGAGAATTTGGGCAAAGGTCTGAAGACGGATATCAGCCGAGGGAAGGGGGAGGCCGAAGAACTTGGAAACAGAGAACAGGATGTTCAGGCGTCCCGAGGCAGATGAAAGGACGGTGGAGCAGAGCCACGGGGCAATGGGGGCATGCTCTGGGTGTGCAACGCAGGGAGGCAGAGTGAGGCAGAGGGTCAGAGAGGCAGGGGACAAGGCCTTGGTCAGGTTGGGGGTGTGGGGCGGTGTGTGTGGCGGGGTGTGGGGAGGCCCTGTCTCCGGCCTGCAGAGTGCATTCGGGCTGCATGGAGTACAGAGTGGCGCTTAGGTTGCTGACGGCCTGTGGGATCGACTCCCGTGTCTCTGCACAGGCAGTACGCTCTTCGCTCTTCACCCCGGGTGATGGAGTGGACAGAGAGAAGAGCGAACAGTGGGAGCGTCAGGCACCAGGCACAGGGCCGAGGGGGGCAGGGGACGGGGGTCTTGAGGAGGCGGCTAGGCAGTGGGGAGCTGGGCTTGGCAGAGCGAGCAGATGACATGCCTTGGTGGACATGGAGGGCTTCCAGATGCCACAGCTGCGTGTGGTCCATCTAGGCTGTCTCCGGGGCGGGTGGGCGCCCGGCCTCCTGCAGCCACAGGGCTTGGAGAGGCAGGCCACACCACGGCCGCCCTGCCCTGGAACCTGCCAGCGGCTTCTTGCGCCGTTCGGAAGTCCAGACTCCGCTGTGGCTCACCGAGTGTGACCTGGCCACGCTTGCCTGTCTTCCCCACGCACCCGACCTCAGCTGGCTTTGTGTTCTTTGGTATGGCAAGGTCCTTCACAGCTCGGGAACGTGTCCCCTTTCTAGCACACTCTCGCTGCGTGTGACTCGCTGTGTCTCCCGCTGAATGGCTTCCCCTGACCTCCGCCACAGTCACAGTCCTCGTCGGATTCGCTCTGTGTTTCTTCTTAGTGCGCTTGTTCTCACGTCCTGTCAGCCTTTGAGGGAGCAGCTTCAGGAGGTGGGGAGGAAGCAGGCGGCCCTGGGGTCCACTCAGTGCTTGACTATGGAGGCAGCGAGTGACTTGGGGGTCCGAGGCAAACGTCCCCTCCCTCAGGGGCTCGTCTACTGGGCGGGATTGCCCGGAGCAGCCCGAGGCTGTGTGGTGGCTCACACACAGCTGTCCAGTCTCCTCTCCTGCACGTTTACCTTTCCTCTTCAGTTACAGTGCCGAGGGCTGACCTGGAGCTCACAGGGACCAGGCAAGCGCGCTGTCACTGAGCTGCTTCCAGCCCGGAGCCCGGCGCTCTCTCTCTGTGCTCTGAGAGTGATGAGAGTTGTTGCTCAAGTGGAGAACCTGAAGCGCAGGGAGGTGACTCAGGAAAGGCGCAGGGCTGCCTCTCCCCGAAAGCTGCCGCCCCTCGACCGCCGAGCACCGCAGCTGTAGCCTTGCCATCCAGAGCGCCTGGCCCTGCCTGAGCCAGTGCCTGCCAGTGCCCAGGGAAGCCGACAAAGAACGCCCCAGACTGCAGCCGGCTACAGGGAAGCTGCAGGCACGATGCAGGCTGAGCTAACAAGGCCCGCAGAGGCCACTTTGCCAACTCTCTGGAGGTGTCTCTGGAACTTTAGGAGCTGTTGAGCTCTTAAAAGGGGGGGAGCAGACAGCCGCAGGGAGAGCCCCACTCTGTGCCGGAGCAGAAGCCCGGAGCTTGCACACCTTAGGATCGGAGTGAGGTCGTGCTGGGCGTGGATGGGACGCCCAGGGATCGTGCAGACAGTGGGAGGGATGCAGGGAAGCCTGGCTTTTACGTCCACCAGCCCTGGGATACTTTGCAGAAATTCCAAACCCAAACTGCGCAAGGGAGCAAATGACCACGATCCCAGCCCTTTGGAGGTAGAAGCCTGAGAATTTATAGTTCAAGGTCAAGGGGTGGGGGGGATGGACCAATGGACGGAGCAATTCTGTACAAGTCTGACCATTTGAGTTTGAATTGTGGAGACCATATGACAGTGGGAGGAAAGAACAGACTCCATAGGCTTGTGGGGTCACCTCCACAGGGGTGCCACGGCAATCACATGCTCACACACACACACACACACACACACACGGTACGCACACACCATGCTGTAACACCTAACAGAAGGTGGAGCAGCAATTAAGACACCAGCTGCTCTTGCAGAGGACCCTAGTTCAAGTCCCAGCACCCATGTGGTGGCTCACAATCATCCAAAGCTCCAGTTTCCGGGGCTTTGATGCCCGCTTCTGAAACCAGCCACCCATGTGGTGCACACACACACAGAAGCAAGCAAAACAGTCATGCACATAAATAAATGTAAAAAAACAGAGTTCACAATTAATCTCAGCTACATAAAGAGTTCAAGGCCAGCCTGGGCTGCGGGAGGTTACTTCCTTCAAAGCACAAACAAGCAAAGAGACAGGATCAGCCCCTCGTGTGAGGGTGACAGCCGAGGAGACCAGCGGGTGGAAGAGCGCCACACCCGTCTCTTACGGACCTGAAACAGGCGCCCAGGACAGGGGTTCCTGCCGTTGGTTCCCCGTGTCCTGTGGCTTTGACACGCGGAGTGCAGTGCGTGTTTGCTGAACAAATGAACGAGCGGATCCCACCGGCTGCCCCGGGTCACGGTCTGTTTGTGGTGAGCAGGTGACAAGGGTTCGCTCAACACCACTGAACAAACTGCCAGTCCTAGGCGGGAGCTTGCCCCTCATTGCACACAGTCCTCATCCCTTCGTCCTCCCCCAGCATGTGCACGCGCGCGCGCGCGCACACACACACACACACACACACACACACACACACGGGCGTCCTCTTCCTGGCTTTGCTGGGGAGCTCTGTGAGAGGGCTGTGGGCTGACTCTCTAAACAGTGCCTCAGGCATAAAACACGGGCCAGTTGAGGCTGCACATTTGCTTCCTTCAAAGCTGTCGATAATCATCTTAGTGCTGTTTGCCTTGGCCGAGCAGCCAGCGCCCACAGTGGCACAAAGGAAAGCGCCTGCTTGGTTCTAGACCTGTGGCTGCTAGGTTACAGCCGCACACACGCACGCCTTAGATAATGGTCATTTCCCACAAGGTAGGAACAAGTTCTCTCAGCCTTTGGTAGCCAGGGAGTCAGATCACCACATTAGCCCTCTGCTGCTGCCGTGAGGCTGCCACACACAGCCTGTGCTGTGAGCCTAACTGTCGCCAGCGTTGTGGCGCTTCC